GACTGTCCAAGCTGGGGCTCGAACTGGCAACCTTCCGATTACAAGGTGACCTCCCAACTCTTGAGCCACAATCGCCCATCAGGCATAAGAGGTGCATGAAGGGTACATTATACAGATTATCATTATTTGTAGTCTTCTAATTCAGAACAGGGAATGTGCAAAATATATGTATCTGAAATTATGTACACTATGTTATATAGATTACCAAAATAATGTTGCATTTACGTCTATCAAAGGCTCCATTTCCCAACATTTACCTTGAAAAACCCCACACGCCTGGTATTCTTCCATCTGAATCAAAGGTTGGAAGGATATTTTTACCACTGTCATTCCTGCTCAGGTTATTGATGCTAAATGTTCCATTACTGGGACAAAAGAGATACCTGTGTGCTATGCCATTAGAAATCACCTTATTATCTTTCACATTTAGTAGTTTGAAATAACTCTTTAACAAACTGTATTGGGATTTTTCTAAGGTGCTGTTCATTAGCTGAACATCCAAAGCTCCTTAACACTGAGCTCCATTCTCCATTCACACTAATTTTCCACACCTTCAAATGAAAAAGCAAAATTATAGCAAATTTAAGTGGTTAGTCAATAACAGAAGGGCTGTGGCAGCATTTGCAAATGTTTACATAAAACAGATAAAATTTTTAATGTGTATATTGTTTGTCTGTTCCAGTGCAAACTATGCAAACAGGCATTTGTTGTAGTGCAGAAGAGCATTGCACAAGTCTGTGACTTCAGAGTTCAGAGTTCATATGAACCTGAAGCTACAGCATGGCTGTGTTTGCTTTAACTGCATATTCATTTTGAAATGATCTCAGAATAAGGCATTCATATTTAAATTAAACCAAGCAACATACGTTGAAAGTATTCAACACATCTTTAGCTGAATTTAGGTTTTTTCTCTCATGGTGAGCTACTACACTTCTTTCATGTGTTCCTTCATTAATACTTAATACTTGTATATGTTAATATGTTTTGAAGCCACAGGAATTAGTACAGTCAATTAGATACATTTGACTGGTGATCCAGTCAGCAACTTTTTCTCTTTTTCTCTTTACTTTAACTGCATCTTCATGTTAAATATGCAGTTAAAGTAAGTATAAGATCCGTTGTGGGGTGTGTACTGCTCTTATTACACGGCAGCCCCAGTGTGTCCTGGTAGCAATCAGCCTGAGAGCAGAACGGTTGAAAATGTCAATGTCAGGTTATGATGAATTGGTTCTAGTTTTTGGTTCTAGTTTTTTACTTTTCATACGCTGAGAGGACAAAAGAAAGTGACGTTGTTTTTAGCAACCCTTTTAGCCTTCAAGAAAATTTTGTATTTTTAATCTCTAAACTCTCTCTAAAATAAAATAAATAAATAACAATAAAACACAGTAAACCTCTGCCAAACAGAAATGGTCAGATAAGCAGGTGTGTTGGGCACTAAGTCTGTTATAGTGTTTCATTTCATATTTAAAATCTTTGATTAATGAAGAATATACACAAAATTACAAAATATGCTTTTGGCATGTAGGAATTTGATATGAAAGAAATACAATTAAACAGATTCTCAACATTTCAGTCCAACGCAAGCACAAAATTCTTTTCATGACATAAAATCCCATAAAGTGCCATGATAGCATAATGTGTTTACATGACAAAAGTACAGAACAAGAAGATTTATGTTGACACCAAAGAACAAAACTAAAGAACAGACCAACAGTTGCGTCTCAAATAATGAAACTCATTGCCTTTTTTACTTTACAT